GAGGGAACGATTGGCTCGCTCGAAAGGATCCTGAAGGAGACTGAAGGATCCTCATTTTCCCGGAGTCCCTCTCGCGGTAGGATGGAGTCTCGATTTCATCGTTGCTGGGTATCTCGAGCGTGAGCGTAAAAACGAGGGGTTCGAGCGACGGTGAAAATTAACGTTTCTTGCGGCATAAAAAATCTGTGTAATCAATTATCGAACCTTTTATCCCATATTTCACGGCCAATGAGTCTTTCGCCTTACCACCGCATCCGCATCGTACCTCCCACTTTTTCTCTTTTTTTTTTTTTCTTTGTATCTTCTTACCTTCCCTTACAAACCTAGCGGCCTTTCCACCCTGTTGATACAGATATATCCCCTTTTCCACCCCTCGGCGAAGTACGGGAAGTTTTTAGCGAAGCCGCGTCTTCTGCCTTGAGGGGCGGAGAGGGAGTGCAGGCTGATGGTATACCTACTCCCGTCGGTATACTATATACAAAGACGATGGCGATGCCGGTGGGCCTTTGTTTGGGATATCAAATATTTATTTTCCTAAATAACGCAGAGGCCACGGGGGAGGGTTGGATCCCGGCACATTTTTTCTTCCCCCCCTTAATAAATTATCAGCGATTATTGGCCGAGCGCCTTGTTTACTCGAGAGTTTCTCAAGTTTTAATTCGGATCTTTGTTGCCAGCAAGTTCAAAGGAGATGCCAATCACGAGCGAAATTGCATTCCCACGGCCGAGTTATTCTATCGTCGAGAATTATTATTATCGTTTTACCGGTCCATTATTACTCTGGATTATCTGTAACCGAACTCAGATCACTGATTGCGTATCAATCGATCTTAGTTTCCCTCGAGGATCAGCCTCGGACGGTTCCTGAAATATTTTGACAAAATTCATTTCTCAAAGACCCGCCTAACCTTCTTCACTAATTATTCACGGCGGACTCGCACTCGCCTGGGTCCGGCGGTGGGGGTGGGTGTGGATATACCAAGGGTGGTTCGAAGAGGGTGAGAAAGCACGGTCCCTTTGATACGGCATTGATATAATTTTAATCTAAGCAAGCAAAACTCAAAGGGATAATCATCTCTGTTCATGTATAGGTATATAGGCATAAACACACGTAGATAGCATATATGATAACGACATACCCTCGTCGCGTTTATAATATACCAGCTGACCGTATCCCCTCTACCCTGTCATCGCTCAACATGGTTCCTGATCACAGGCGTATTAATTTCTTCATTAGTCGCCGCATAGGGATATGGATACTCGCTCGACCTTACGCGGACATCAAGAATTCATTAAAATCCCAGGCATAGCCTGATATATAAATTACCATGACGGTTAATGTACGTCGAGCGTCGCGACGTCTTCTCTTCCCTGTAGAATATAGATAGAAAACGCGGAAGGTAACGCTGGGTATAAGTTAATCAGAATTTTTTTCTGTACTCTTGAAATAAATTCTTGCGAAATTGCCAATAAAGAAATATCGATTCGGGATATGAAAAATTACCTGGTTCGTGGATACTGGATGCTGCGCATGTACCGAGAGGTGTAACGAAAGTGAAGAGAATTAAAAATATAATAAAAAAACATGCAATCAGCTAGGGTCGTTGATTATGCTCGCATTTTTTTTTTTCATATTTCTACTTTTATTTCAAGAAACCGCCTTTCTCCCCATTACTTTTCTCCCCGTCAAGTATTTAACGTCGAAATAAGAATTTCTTGTTTTTACTGAAAAAAAATGTGTATCTTGATACGAGATTAAAGTCGCTAAACAAGTATCCCTTAGGTCGTCAGGAGATGACAGTCAATTATAAATGACAGGTAATTTACCCTAGCTTGACGAAAAAGACACGAATACTTAAATTATGACCAACTTATTATCCTTGTACAATCATCTCAAAAAATTATTACAACCATCTTGCTGTACGTTTGCTTGAATGCGTACAGTATCATTAATAATGCTTTTCAAACGGATGCTGTAGATTTGCCTCTCCGTACGGTCCACCTGCTTTCTGCGTATCTCACTCGCAACCACCGAACTCGTATATGCTCGACATCAGCATCAGAAGTCACCCACCCCCCCTGCGGCTCACTTACACGTATGCTCGTACGTGAAAATACTAGAGTGTTGGTATCCGCGGGTTTTTCTCAGTTTTCATTCGGCACTTTGATACTCGTTTTCCAGCCTCTCTGTAGAACGTACGAATGTCTATAGATATGTACCACATATGATACCTGTGCTTCTATATACTCGCTCTCATCTCGACCGGAGTCATAACGTTTATTTTCATGCTTACTTTACTACGTCGAACGAAAAAATACCGGAGTACCCCTAGAATAGAGGAACCCTGAAACAACCGCCCGTAGAACTTGCTGCTGGAATATCAACCCCATTACTGTAGTCTGAAAGATTTTTTTTTTTTTTTTTAAATCCAATCGACGTTCATATACATATAATTTTTCTTATTTCGATCAACGTATACAGGTAAATAATTATTGACCGTCATCGGAGGGTTGATGAATGCCCAAGACGAAGGGTGGTTCCTACGAGGGTGCAAGAGTCGACAATTGTATAAATCATCTATACGATATACGGTTAATGGGAAATTGGGTAGAAGCTGGATGGCTCGATGATATGTACGCGTACGTGTATAAGATACAGGCTGGTACCAGGGAATGAGCTAAAGGGTGCAGGAAGAGAGTGGATGGTTACGGTGCAAGAACTGGGTTCGACGCTCGGCAAAGAGACCACAGAATCTCTGCCAACCCTCTGTGCCCGTCGTTCCTCGAAACTTTGTTACATTTTTGGTCAAGTCCGCATACGTGATACGCTGGGCGGGGGTAAGTGGATCAAAGGGTTTGAACGCGGGAGACGCGAGTCACACAGGAAATTGCGCTATATCAACCGTGCAGGAGATAGAGTGGAGCCAACCGTCTGAAATACCTGTGTTCCATTCCTTATACAGTGTGACATATTTTTGACTTGGCGAAAGATTGAAGAACAATTGTTTTTTAAAATTAACCTTTAAGGGTGACAATTTGAAAAGTCAAATTTTACTCGTGTTTCTGAAGGGACGATTATGTAAATTTTGTATGCCGCGCAATGCATAATTAGAATTTTGCACTCGAAGCGTGCAGGGAGGTGGAGCAAAGAATACCCGAACCACTGTGGAGAATCGTGCGGACGGAGGGAGAAAAATTAATTTGCAGAGGGGGAAACGGTGCGCGGAAAAAAATCTTGGGAAAACAAGGAGCATTTTCAACGGACCTTTAACCAGCGAATTACGAAGAATATTTTAACGCTCGACTTAGTCGTCTTTAATTGGCGGACTTGAGAACGGGAATCGCGGGTTTCGCAAAAGGTCCTGCACCATTTTAGTGCAGCTGATTCGTGAGCTTTGTTTTTATTTTATTTATTCATTTTTTTTTTTAATACAAAATACTACTCTGGATTGAAGTCGATTTTATAGGCTTTTTCGAAAAATTCTTTATTTATCTTAATTCTTCTTCGCTGCTTCTTTACTATTATACTACATACATATGTATACAGGGCTTAACGCTATACTTTTCTTAGTTTCGTTATCTACTACATCGACGCATACACAACGCTATTATAGTTGATCCGCAGCTCTATGAGTTTTAGCAACTTTTTATTTTTTAATATAAAAATAAGAAAAACTTTATTTATCGCTAAAGGGGGGAGTATAGAGAATTTTTTTTTTTACTCTCTCTTTCTCATCCTCTCTCTTGTTCCTTCCATTCTTCGCTTCCTACGTTGGTGCCTATCTGGTGGCGAGATAATTTCTACAAAATAATGTTGACTCTTTTGTAAAACGTCGCGACGCCCGGCGTCCCTCACTGTGTCACTAAGCGTTTGGATGAACAAGCTTCCGGTGATTTTCCAAAGAGAGCGGTCCCTTGAAGTACTTTTGACAGAGGGCGCAGTGGAAGCGATGCTTGTTCTCGTGGCAGCGCTGGTGCTTGTTCAGCAAGTCCTTCCTGGCGAAAGTCCTCTCGCAGAAGGCGCAAGAGAACTTATCCGGATTAGTATGAAAGATATTGTGACGCGTCAGATTGTCCAGACGCGAATATTCGCGAGTGCAAATCTCGCAGGTGAACTTGTGCCTGTGGGAATGACATCTCTGATGGTAGCGCAGATAACGTTTCTGGGCAAACGTTTTGCCGCAGGCGCAACACGCTATTTGATTCGTGTTGTCCTTGCGAACTTCCATGTGATCGTTTAGATCATTCTCGTGAAAAAATCCTTGCTTGCAAAACGGACAGTTGTACTGCTTTGATATCTTATCCTTGCGTATATTTTGCACTAACATCGGATCCGTCATGATCTTGTACAGGAAGGTGTCCTTCAGCTTGTCGTTGCTATTGTCGTCGAAATGACTGGAGGGTTTTGCTTTTTTTTTCGACAAATCCATCACTTCCATATTTTCTTGGCTTTTCTGATACACTGGCTCTTCCTTTGAATTTGGTTCGGGCTCCTTTTTACGAGGCAATCCTGTCAACGGGATAGGCTCGTAACGCGATGATTTTCCCACAGGACGTGTATTTTGGTATAAACACTTTTTTAATTCCTGTAAATTAATTAATCGTAATAATAATGTATCTAGTTAAAAATGGATATTTAACGAAAATTATTAATTTCGTAAAAAAAAAAGAATTAACAACCTTGTTGGATTCCAATGACTTTTCGTGATTGTCAGGATTTATTTGGTTGTCCATATTGCTTTCGAATTCTCGAGGCTTATCCGAATGTCCTTGAAAATTTTGTTCACTGTCAGTTTTCTTAATTCTTTGCCTCGGTACAGTTTTCACTCTCATTTCGATTAACGTATTTTAATTTGACACTGTACAACTTTATTTGTTTCCTACGCTATATATACGACCCACAGAATTTCTCGTTAAGAGTTTTCAGACTGAGACGACCTGTATGAGACGACACTCCGGGCTATACTAATGATCAAAATGACATTGCGAGACAAGTATACTCGAAATACAGAGAGTCTGTCGGAGTCGCGTACATGAAAATTTTACAAGTTTATAAACAAAGACAATCGATTCCAGGATTCAAACGTGTGTCCGATCGAAGGAGAATTCCTCGAGGAGAATATGTCATCCGATGACTATAAACAGGAATGGTCTCGTCATGTCGAGCAAATTCATCCCATTAAACTATTCACGAAGACCAATTGAATTTTGTATATCCAGGGGGGGTAATAATTAAGCAGTCTAATTTCACGAGGACGTGGAGCCAAATTGATCAAAGTGGCGGATGAGAGAAAGAAACAGCGAGGAGAAGAAAAAAAATATTACTGTATCAGGATGATCTTCCGTTTCAGGATACTTTCTCATCCTGGTCGACATTCCATCCCCTATTTCCGTTAATATAACATAAGAAGGAGTCGGGGTTAAACGAGGGTGAACGGGGATTTTTAATTGTAGTCCACCAGGTATAACCCAACCGAGTGACTCTTGGTATTGTCATACCGAGCAGCGCTTTTCTTTATTTCCCCAGTGGCTGGATGAGGTTATACATTTTTTTAACTACGGCAATGCCTCCGTCTTCTTATTAGCAAAGCTAATTGGAAATACAAATGGTTATTCACGGTGAGGGTGGGGGTGGTGGGGGGGCAGTGGGGGGTAGTGGTAGGAGTAGGGGACAGCAGGGGTCGCTTCTGGTACGTACTAGTACTGGTAGTACTGATACTGATTCTGGCCCTGCTGGTTCCTCTGGTTCTTCTGGCCCACCGACTGGGCTACACTTCTCCGTATTAAGCTTGTATTTGCTCCGGATAATTAGGACTTTTTCCCGGCCAATTTGGATGAATAATTGATTTGACTTCTCCACCTCCCTCATCATCCTTCGTTCGTTCGTTCGTTCCTACACCGTGAACTCTGCACTCTCGTCTCCTGGACCTCTTCGAATGACAATCACCGTGAAAAAAAATAAGGATCTTTCAATGAAATATTCAAGGGTGGAACCACCCCCCCCCGCCCCATCCCCGTGGTGCTCTCCTTGTTCTCCCTTCTTTTTTAGTCTCTCGCTCTTATTATGTCAGTGGGAGGATATTGCATCCGTTCTAAACGAAGAGCCAGGACTCTGGTTTTCTTTTTTATTTGTATCTCCCCCTGGTTATTCCCCTAAAAAAAAAAAAAAAGAACCGACTCTCCTAACACTGCGAGGGGCACTTCGATTCGCACGGCTAATTACGCTTAAATTAGTCATTAATATTGACCGGCTAACGTCGAATAAGTCACTCGTACCTCCGCTGTGAAAACCAACGTGGTCGAGCTTCTCGGTTCCTCTTCCTGTCTCTCTCTCTCTCTCTCTCCCTCTCTCCTTTCTCTCTCATTACTGACTCATCCGCAAAATACTCTCTCGCGAGGGTTACCAACTTTTTCTCTTCTTCCTTGCTATCTTACCGAAACACCCTCCCCCCCCCCGCCGCCTCTCTCTCACTTTTAGCAGTGCGTCTCCTTTTTCATCAGCATTTTACGGTTATACTAAGCGCATTAATAATGCACATGCTTGATAATAAAAGAGAGGCCCGCAACTGTCGGTCTAATAAACTCGGCCTCGTGCTTTATATCCGACTACTCTCTATATACTTAAAGATTTTGGTACATGAAAAAGAAAAAATAAACGGGAGAAATTAGAAAGAAAAAAATGTACTGTGCGATACTCTCATGAAATTTTTACACGACTTCATTATGACCAGGAAATAGAAAGGGGGACCCTTAGCGACTTCCGGTCGAACTTACGCACTCAAGTCGAATGGCCCGCGATACTTCCCGGTACTTTAGGGCGATTTACGAGCAGCCTTGCGTGCCCAACGCCATATTTAAGATGCTTCCCTCGTCTTTCATTTTGTCCGTTTACCGCGCTGGGTAAAGTATCAGTTCGTACAAAAAGTCTTCCTTTTTGTTTTCGTCCTCCTCCGCCTCCTCCTCCTCCTCCTCCTCTTCCTCCTTCTACTCCTCATCTCATTCTTGTTCTCGGCTGTGTCAGTAATAGGCTGATTTTTGACTGGCGTAGTAGCGCGAAGTTGAAGCTTCCTGAAAAATATGAGTTTAATAAAGAAGAAGGCGTGATGTATGGCTCCCTGTGCCTTCCAGAATCAGGCGGCTTCGATACGCCAGGTATTGTATACATAATATAAGCTACAGTCAAAACGAGCACCGAGTATACCGGCTGTTTAATAAATTTCGTCGTACTATCGTTGGATACCAAATTGATCCAATAACGATGTTAAAAAAAAATAGGTACCCCTTATATTTTATAGTATTGGACCTATTTTTTTTTTAATTTACTGGTATATCTTTTTTTACTATAGTATATGCCAAGCACTGGATCTTTTTGTACGTTGATCACACTGTACGCACGTGATATATGTATAGCCAGAGGGAGGCTGTAAGCATCGAGCGTGCGTGATCTCCTACGTATGGGAGTTTGCCAAGTCTTCTACCCCCATGAATTTAACTTTAGGAAAATTCGATGCGGCCTGTATTACTATGGATTTATGATGATCCCCGTTGCACGCTTTCTCACGTAACTCGATATAACGGCTCGCACTTATTTATCGTCCATTATTTGCGAGTTGGTTTATCGGTTGAGGCAAAAAAAAAAAAGAGAAAAAAATACATATATACTTCACAGTTTCCCTGGGTATCCCCATATTCATTTGTCGTTATTATACCCGGAAGGAGTGGAAACTTCTTTTTTTCCCATTAAACAAATAAACACGTAACGTCAGGCACAGTAGAAAAAATCATACGAAGCCAGACAATTTAGATAACATCAAAGAGCCATTGTCAGCTTCCCATTAAAATAATGCTGACTCGGGTATCAAGTTTACTAAAATGAGGAAAAGCAAAAAAAAACATGAAACAGCATATACTATGGATATATCATACAAGAGGTGTAATCATATAAGTGGAAATTCAAGTTAAGTCAATACAACAAGGACGTAACTTCGTTTCCATTAGAACGACGCGTCAGATCTGTACCAGTGATGTTTTCGTGGTCTATTAGGTAGCAAGTCCGATTTCCATAGAAATCGATTACTGCAACCGTCCCCCCCCCCCCCCCCCCC